TTTCGGATGTCCTTGTTGTGAAGGCATAAGGACTGCCCAGGTTCTTCAATCACTGGCTCATCTGGGAGGCCCTTGCCTCCGTTTCCTTTGGCTAGTATGGTTATGTTGCCATACTAAAGTGACACCGGAGGTGATTCAGCCGTGCCCCTCTGCATTGCGCTTGCCGGATGGTCATTTTTAGCAATTTCGGGGTCTTCCGTCGGTGCTTTTCCCTTGCGCATTTTCTTGTCTCTCATCCGTGAGAATTCATTGCGGATGGTGGGCTTTAAGACATCCATAATGTACCCGGAAAGTTCCAGCACCGACCCGTGGTGTGTCGCTTGGATCTCCTTACAGATCTGGTCCTGTAAAATTCTGACCAAAATCGTCACCATTTTTTCCACACCTTCCGGAGTCGTAGAGTACTCATCATGTGTGATCTCTCCGGAAACATGTGGCGCTGATTTTTTTCCAGTGATTCCTTTTTCTTTCAACATGGTGGTGATGTCCGAAAATGGTAGTTTATGATTCTTTAATTGCATAAAATGCGAGACTCGTTGGAGCCCCACTGGGCATGCCAATTTGTTATCGCCGAAATTCGTCGAAGACGGCGCAATGGATTAGGCCAGTCGAGATCGACATGAATTGGTTTCCCCAGCCTCCTTAAGAAATTGTCTGTGTTAATATCGCAGTCGGATATTGAATTGTAACACCTCTGAACAAAAATACTTGTAAAACGATGGTCTGACGATGGACCAAATATGGTGCGAATCAAATTGAAAAATATTGCAATATGAGAAGAAAAGTAGATGAAATGCAAAGGAAATATAAGTTCGCTTATTTTTTAAGCTTTATAAGATTTGGAAATGATATGTATCTCAATGTTGAAATTGGATTGCTTAATATTTAGGCTTTAAAAATGAAACAATTAGCGTGGGAATTTTTTCTACGGAAATTTGGTACAAATACCACCCTATAAATTTTCTAATAGCAATATTTCTACGGAATACCATAGCAAATATTTGTAGTAAAAAAAAAGTGTCAGTAATTCCATCACAATTTTATGTTGCAAATTTTTGCTACAAAATATTGTAGCAAATAGTCGTAGTAGATAAGATTGTGATGCTATAATTGCATTAGAATCAAAACTGTGACTAAAACCGTGTTATAAAATAAAATACATCGTAGTTTCCATAGTTGGTTTGTGTTTGCGATGCCTAGAATCATTTTTGCTACAGAAATATTCCGTGGCAAAAGTTGATTTTTTTTTAAAGTATTGACCACAGGGAGTTACAACAAGATTTCATATTCACATCTAAAAACAATATATAAATAAAAGCTATTGTCATTGGATATTTTTTAGACTCGATAGATAAGCGTCTATGTCTAATAAATTATTACTTAAAAACTTTTTCACTAGTGGCTTTAATCCTCTGTTACTTTTATTTAATCAACATTAAATTCAGATCATGTGCTAAGTAGGTTGACAAGCTAGGCTCCAGCATACTTTGATACTACGAACTGTCTAAGCTCTATTAAAAAATACGATGCAAAGCTTAGATAGTTAATTCTTCTCTTGTCCTTCCACGGTTTTAACAAAAATTAATAAACCAAATACAAACTTGGGTGTGTGAATGAAGATAGAGAGTGAAGTAGGAAATGATATTTCATTAACACTATTGAAAGTAGTAAATCTATATTAATGAACGTAAAACAAAAATGAAATAAATCTGCTAAAAAAGGGATTACGGTAGCCATTGGCGGGGGTAAAGGGTGGAGAAACTCCATTAGTCCCATTGACCTCCATTGACAACTACTGAAAAGAACTTCTTACCAGTTGGTTGTAACACCAGATCTGCAAGCCACACTGATCAGGCTTGTCGAGATTAGATTGACCTCATAGGTCAACACAACACTTGAGTTATGACAAAAGTGCATTGGAAGGATTCGTATTGACCTATGGGACCAGTCTAATCTTGACATGACTGGTCCTGCGTGGCTTGTGGCCGGAGTGTCTCAGTAGTTGAGGATCAATTACAACAATTGGACAATTAGACAATTAGATAGTTAAGTTGTTAGAGTCTGTTAGAATTGTCATAACTCAATTACAACAACTTTCTCCTCGCTTTGCTTCGGTGGGCATGGATGTCACTTGGATCATCATTATTCTTCATTGCGCATCGAAACTAAATGGTTGTACCGCTTTGCTTTAGAAGATTGATTTTCACTTCGGGGATGTCACTACAGTGGTGGAAATTCCCTAGCCGTTGGAATTCAGACATATTGTATTCGCGCTTCGCTTCGGATTGTCACAGTCTGTATGCCTTTGACGCTTCGCTCCAAATCAATATATTGGACCTAAGTTTTGCTTAAGTTGGACAAAAAACTTAGTAAATCTCATTTAAGGGCAATTGGATCATATTGAACGAAACAAATTAATAAAGTATGTCATAATTTAAATATTCCGATGGTTTTTGCAAAATAAAAAAATAAATATATCTATATACAAGTCATAAATATGTTTTTCAAGTGGAAAATATGTTCAAATTTAGAGTTATCATCGACTAAGAAAACGTGTATAGTCCAATCCTTTATGGAATTCAAATTTATCACCTTGAACAAAGTTGGAAAGGAAGCCAAATGGCTTAGACAACTCCTACCAGAGATTTTATGTTGGAATAAACTTATGCCCACAGTAACGATACACTGTAATAGCATAACGGCAATTGGAAAAACACAAAATGTGATGTTTTACCGTAAATCACAACACATCCGTTGTTGACAATATTGTGCGAGGATTGATCTCATGAAAGGCAATTTTTTTAGACTACATGAAGTCTAAGGATAACCTAGAAGATTCGTTAACCAAATGGTTGAACCGGGATCAATTTCAAAAGTTGCTCGGAGGAATGAGTCTAAAAAACAACACTTAAAAACGATTGTAGTGGACAACCAACCGTGATGAATGAAGATCTCACAAACTTATTTCAATGAAAAAACTAAGCTATATGAGTTCACGTTGCAACAGTTGAAAGACACATTTTCCGCTATTGCTCGAGAGGAAAAGAACGAGCAACGAGTGTTGATACTCTTGCAATGGTGTAGGCTAAGCGATGAGTTTTTAATGACTCCTTAACAATTTTAGATAGAGCATGGCAAGATACTCATGAGAGGTTATCTATACAAGCGTGAAGTGGATGTTGCTTCAAGTGTAGCACTTGCAAAGATAAAGATGTTCTCCATGCTCCAAAATGAAAACAAACATGAGAATCGAAGATAAATGAGGTGGTGTGGTTTTGATAATGTTGTCTAGGTGGACGCCGTGATGGAATAATTCAAGATGCTCGACGGTATAGAAAAAAAAAATTCAAGATCAAACGATACCTTACCCTATGTGAGAGCATTTTTAAGAGAATCGTGCCCTTGCAACCTAAGCATTTTTAACACACTCTCGTCCAGAGACTCTCATTTCTCCTATTACTCCATGTTCATCAAATCTCTTGTTAGTTGTGTTTTTTAAACATCACATCCATATTGTGTACACTACGTTCGTCCCAAAAGAACATGCTTATTTTTTGGGCATGACTTTCAAGGAATATATATATATATATATATTCTATTAGTAGTAGAAAGTAGGGGTAAAACACTTTTTTATCCTTATAAGTATATTTTTAATTTAAATATAAAAAATAATGACATTCGTGTAATAATAATATAAAAATAAAAGTAGTTGTAAAGTTATAATGATACTATTGTTTTGATATGGATATAAATGGTAAAATACGACTATTCAATTTGCACAAATAGAGTATATTTTATTAAAATATAATTTAAAATTAAAATATTTTTAACCATATATTACACTATAAATCAAATATTGTCTCCGTCCACATGTAAGAATACATTTGTCAACTTTTATGGTTCAAACATAAAGTATCAGTATATATAAACCGCATTATACATTACAAATATTTTTATATTTATATTAATATCTCACATTAATATCTTAAATATTCTCACATTAATTAATAAACGTTGTAATTGATAGGAAGAAGTATTAATTATATAATCATTTTCAATCAAACTTTTCACCTTTAAAATTTAACCCACAACTGCATATAATAAAACCTGCATATAAGGATCTCCAACCCGGACCCGTAACTTCATTTTTCAGCAAGTCAAGGTAATTTTATTCCAATCACAAATTTCAATTATTATTCATAGTATATTTCCGGTATATTTATCTCTTATATTATTTTATATAATTTTTCATATTTATAAATTACACTTAAATTTTAATTTGTTTTTACATTATTATTAAACAATATATAATTCATACTTTATTTATAAAATTATATATCACTTTTTAAAAAATAAATTATATATTATTTTAAAAAATTAAAATTACACATCATTTTCCAAAAAATAAAATTATACTCCCTCCATCCTCTTAACAATCTATCTATTTTTCCATTTTGGTCCGTCTCTTAACAAAGTATCAATTTCTTTTTTAGTAATTGTACTGTCTATCTAACATTACAAATACCTTTCTAATTTACAATATATTACACAAATGTCATTACCTTTATATCATACAGTACTAGTAGGATTAATTTAGTCTTTTTACCTTTATTTTTACTTTATCCCAATATAATACTAATATTTTTAAAACTCCATGTAAAAAGCAAATATATATATAAATATGAGACGAAGAAAATTATATCACTTTTAAACCAATAAAATTAGATATTATTTTTTTTAAAAAAATAAAATTATATATTACTTTAAAAAAAAATTACACAAAAACACCCCCCAAAAAAATATACAAAATACTCAACTCCAAAAATAAAATAACACTGTTTAGCTATCCCCACAAATGGGGGTGGAAATGGAGTTGGGACATCGAATTTTAGGAGTTGGAGAATATATAAAAAAAAAAAAACAAAAACCTTAATAAAAGAAAAATAATTTTATTGCAATAATATGCTATAGTATTTATTTTAAAATTATAACAGCAAGACGAGTGTTTTGAGGTTTCAGTCTATCTTCTTCTCCGCCTACCAATACCCAAACCAGAACCCTCATTCATTTGCTCCCCTATCTGATCCCTCGCGCACTAACTCTCCATTGCCATGGAGATGTTTGCTTTCAGCCCCATCACTGCCGCTACAACAACTGCCCAGCCGCGGGTGCTATTTTTCTCCCCCTTTTTGCACCCATCCGCTCCTCTTCTCCGCTCCTCGGCTCGTCTATGCCGCCGCCGCCGCCGCTACAAGGTCTCGTTGATCCGCGCCTTGTCAGACCAGCCATCCGCCTCGGCGGCGAAGCCTGATGTCTTCGGGGAGAAGAGGGAGCTCACGGGGGTGCAGTCCGTCGTCGATGCGCTGTCGCCGCCGGTTCGGATTGTTGGGTCGGCTTTAATCGTGGCTGCTGCGGCGGCTGCCGGGTATGGCCTGGGGTCTAGGTTAGGTGGGTCCCGAAATGCCGCCGTGGGTGGGGCGGTGGTGGTTGGGGCCGCCGCCACCGGGGCGGCCTATGCGGTGAATTCCTGTGTGCCGGAAGTGGCGGCGGTGAATTTACACAATTATGTGGTTGGGTGCGGTGATCCTGGAGCTGTGAAGAAGGAGGATGTCGAAGCTATTGCTAACAAGTAAGCATGCTAATATTTGTTGGCATTTCTCTGAGAATCATTCGATCCTTGATTGTTTAATTTTGCTCATACAATTTTTCCAGGAAGCTCGTAATATGGTATCTTAAGAAATTGAAATTGAGTTTTTCCATCTTTTAGGGTTTTAATTTCAAATTATTTCTGATCAAGTTTTAGTAAAACTTGTACTTCCCAATTTGAGCTTAAGGTTTCTTGACAAAAAAAGTTGTGATTGATCTTTCTCAATTTTATCAGATAAATCTTGAACCAATTACTTTTGGCTTTAGTTTTGTACTGCTTTTGTTTTGGTATTGTGAATAAATGTGTAGAATATATGTAAAATCTGAAACATGTGTATGGGAACGAGTAAGGAGTTCTTGATGCTCCTGTTATATAAAAATTATGGGTTTGTTTACTTGGGGTTTGGTATTAGTTGGAATTTGTCCGGACAGGGAGTCATTGAGAACAATTACTCACTGTGATGTATTCTAAAAAAGTATTAATGTCCAATTTTTTTTATGTCAGCTGATAAGGAGTAATTCCTTCCCACGATTTAGTTTCGTCCCTGTTTGGTCATATGCCTTGTCATTTCTCTTCACCCTTCTGTACCAGCTTTTACTGAAACGTTTGTTTGCTCTTTCAATTACTTGATTTAATTTTTTTCTTGTTTGTTTTCAGCCATAATTTACTTGCTTTGATCGTTTTGTTACTTATATTGTACTATATGCACTTGTGATATCTTCCAGATATGGTGTTAGCAAACAGAATGAGGCTTTCAATGCAGAGATTTGTGATATCTATTGCCGGTAAATAAAATAATGTTTCGCTTACATGTTGCTTAAAGGTCTTCGCCTTCTGCATTTGTAGGACTTATTCTCTAATTTTGCCTTTTCAGTTTTGTGTCTTCTGTGCTTCCTCCCGGAGGTGAAGATCTGAAAGGAGATGAAGTTGATGCCATTATTAAATTTAAAAGCTCGTTGGGAATTGATGATCCTGATGCAGCGGCCATGCACATGGAGGTAGGGTTGCATTAATAACCCGAAGAGAAATGAGAGTGATTGTAGCTCAATGAATAAAGTGATAATAACAGCCTCAAGTGTTTAATTAACTATCTCTCAGATTGGTAGGAGAATTTTCAGGGAAAGACTTGAAACAGGGGATCGCGATGCTGATATGGACCAACGCCGGGTAGGATTTTGTTTAATCACGAGTTTAAATATGTTGTGTGCTTAATACCTTTTATCACGTAAAGATATGGGGCTTGAGCGTATTTGGTGTTTCCAGTGCAGGCATTTCAGAAGCTAATATATGTATCGAATCTTGTGTTCGGTGAAGCATCTGGCTTCTTGTTACCATGGAAACGTGTGTTCAAGGTCACTGATGCTCAGGTATCTATGCTGTGCAATAATGTTGACGAAATATTTCTTTATTAAATTTGTTTTTCAGTGTGGTATGATTTAAGGTACTGTAATAGGTTTTTTCATTCTATACTTACCTAGATTCTGCGTAATTCTTTGACTGCCTCAGGTGGAGGTTGCTGTCCGGGACAATGCACAAAGGCTGTATGCTATAAAGCTTAAACCAATTACTGAAGGTAGCACACCGATCATTTATGGTAGATAAGATAAATTTAGTATTGACAATATATCTAGATAAAAGCAGACCTGTGGGAATTTATTGTTTAGTATTATATCCTTGTGTGAAGATGATGAGAGAACTCCTCTATTTACTTATGTTTTCAACTTTATTTTTTCCATTCTATTTATCAAAAATTCTCCCTCCCCCAATATCACTATCTGAGAGTATTATTATTATTATTTTTTTAAATTATACTAAAACCTTATTTTTATTTAAAAAAGCACATACTACATATATTCATATCACATCCATCAGCTATTTTCCATTCAAACTTTTACTATTCCAATAAACAATCTAAATCACCAAAACAGTTACAAAATTTATATAACAAGCCATCTTTTTCTGCAAATTATCTCTTCCAATGCCTTTTATTTATAGTTTACTTTTTACTTCTTTAGTTTTTTGCAGTTCTTTGTTGTGTTTCTTTTTTTTTCTGCACACTACGGCCCGTCACTTAAAGAGATAAGGCTTTACTAGTGTAGATTCTTTCATTTAATCTCACCGTGCTTTGTTAGGTATAGTGTATTCAAAATTGTCTATGTTACATTACAATTCGTTGGCTTTGCTTCAAATAATTAGGCATCTTATGAAGCATGCCATCTGCCTCATTAGGTTTGAAGATACCTTTTATTTTATTTAAAAAGAAAGTATTTTGAATGGTAAAGCATTTTTGACAGTCTACATTTATGGTACCTTATACAATACGAGGTATATATGCTCTAGGATGAATATAAGGCTGAAATATTTACCTTTTGTTGGCATGAGCTATAACTATCTTATCTGCTTCTAGTTTGGGTTACTTATATTATGCTTTGCACTTGACAAGTTAGTAATAATTGGATAAGAGTGCTATATTAAGGAGTTATATTAACTGATTTTCAGATATTACTGTGGATCAACTGATCAGCCTTAGAGAAGCGCAACTTCTTTACCGACTTTCTGATGAGGTATTTTCTTCCTCAACTCATTGTTTGTATCATGTGCGCATGTATAATAATGTATGTGAAAAACATTTGTGCATTTTTATTTCAGCATTTTTCTACTTTTTCAATAAAAACGTGCTAGTTCAACTACGATCAAGTTCTCTGTGATGTTTCATTGCTGGTGATTTCTTTTTTGCAGCTTGCTGCAGACATGTTTAGAGAGCATACAAGAAAGCTTGTTGAGAAGAATATATCAGCAGCTCTTGGTGTGTTGAAATCCAGAACTAAAGAAACGTATGGTCAATATTGCATTTTGATCTTTCACAAACTTTCAGTTAGTTATCTTTTAAAGATATTTACCTCTGCTGATGAGAAATAAAAGGGGATGGGGGCAGGGCGGGGGCAAGAATAGTATGAGTCAGCAACAACTATTCTGCTTTATTAATTATTTTTTGTGTGCTTATAGTTAGTTGAATGAAGTTTGGTTATACTGTTTTTAACAGATGCATTATCTGAAATGTCATCGTAATTGCCTGAGTTTTTTTTTTTTATTTCAATAAAAAACCTTACATTCAATCACTTGAATGAAATTGATTGAAACAGAAAACATGGTTATCCCCATCTAAATTATGCCAATATAGCTTTATAACCATTCCACTCCTAATGTGTGATAGTTTATCCTATTGAGCGATTCTTTTGGCTGCAAATATTTATCTATAAGAAGTTGTGGTACTTAATGAAATGCTTTGAATTTTACAGGCAACAAGTCATTGCGGAGCTTGACAAGATTCTTGCTTTTAATAATTTGCTGATTTCATTTGAGACCCATCCTGAAGCCAGTCGCTTTGCTAGGGGAGTTGGGCCAGTATCTTTAATAGGTAATTTAATTTAATTAATTTTTTTTGTCATTTTTCATAGGCACCCCCTTTTGTTTGTGTTCATGTTCTAAAATTTTAGTTGTAGGCTTTTCAGAAATATTTTCGTCATCTGAATTTTATCCTCAAATTTTCATATCTACTCTTGCTGGATCTGATCCTATTTTTTTTAGGAGGTGAGTATGATGGAGACAGAAAGATCGAGGACTTGAAGCTTCTGTACAGAGCTTACGTGACAGATGCTCTGTCTGGAGGTCGAATGGAGGAAATCAAGGTGCAATAATATTAGAAAACTCATCCCTATTTGTTGTTTTATTATGTGCAACAATCTTCTGTTTTTTGGCCGCGTAATGTGTTATTCCACTTTTGTATTGGTCTCAGTTTACATCATTGTCGTTTTGCTCTTGTTCTAGCTTGTTGCACTGAATCAACTGAGGAATGTATTCGGGTTAGGGAGACGTGAAGCAGAGTCTATTGCACTTGAAGTCACATCTCAGGCATACCGTAGACGCCTGCAGCTGGCTGTATCCACTGGTGATTTATTAAGATCTGACAGTAAAGCGGCCTATCTTCAACAACTGTGCGAAGAACTGCGGTTTGATCCTGAGATGGCTGTGAAGATTCATGAAGGTTCAATTCAATCTAACCTTTTTTTTTTTGGTTCCATGTTGTTATATGGTATCCTTAATTTTCATATTTCTTGATTGACTTTCTAACAAACTTCTCTTCAATTGGATAGATACCTACCGGAGAAAACTTCAGCAACTGGTAGCCGATAAAGGCGAACTCAGTGATGCGGATGTGGAGACTTTGAAACAGGTGCAGATCATGTTCTGCATACCAAAGCAAACAGTCGAAGCAGCTCATGCTGATATCTGTGGTACCTTGTTCGAGAAGGTAAATACTTTATTTCTGCATTCTGGACTACGGAACTATTTCTGTTATGTGAATCCATTTATGCTATGTCGGTTTTAATTGTATTGATGAACTCGAGAATGTTGGATGGGTGATCTTGTTAATAACAGATTGTCAAGGAAGCCATTGCTTCTGGCGTGGACGGGTATGATATGGAAACCAGGAAAACCGTCAGGAAGGCTGCTTTCGGTTTACGATTGACCAGGGAAATTGCTTTGTCTATTGCTAGTAAAGCAGTAAGTGTTGCCGAAAACTAATCATTTATTAGCGTTCTTGTTTCGACCCGCATCTGATTAATTGAATATTTTTTCAGGTCCGCAAAGTTTTCCGCACCTACATAGAACGCGCCAGATCTTCTGGCAGCCGCACTGAGTCCGCCAAAGAACTCAGAAAGATGATCGTCTACAATAGCCTGGTCGTCACTGAACTTGTCGCAGATATCAAAGGCGAATCGGTCGATGCTCCTCCACCAGAAGAGCCAGCTGCTAAGGAAGAGCCGAAAACAGATGAAGATTACGAGGAATGGGAGACATTGCAGTCGCTCAAGAAATCCCGACCCAACAAGGATATTTCGGGAAGACCAAGCCAGAAGGAGATAAATCTCAAAGATGACCTCCCCGAAAGGGACCGGGCCGATCTTTACAAGACATACTTGCTATACTGCCTAACAGGCGAAGTGACTCGGATTCCATTCGGAGTTCAAATCCCCACGAAGAAGGATGATTCCGAGTATATTTTGTTGAACCAGCTTGGTGGGATACTCGGCTTGACTGACAAAGAGATTGTCGAAGTGCACCGGGGTTTAGCCGAGCAGGCCTTCCGGCAGGAGGCTGAGGTTATATTAGCGGACGGGCAGTTGACTAAGAGCAGGATCGAACAACTGAATGAGCTGCAGAAAAGCGTCGGCCTGCCTCCGGAGTATGCACAGAAGATAATAAAAAGCATAACCACTACAAAACTGTCGGCAGCCCTCGAAACTGCAGTCGGTCGGGGAAGGCTGAGCATAAAGGAAATTCGGGAACTGAAAGAAAACGGAGTTGAAATAGACACCATGATCTCGGACAGCTTACGGGAGAATCTCTTCAAGAAGACAATCGATGACATCTTCTCATCCGGAACTGGAGAGTTTGACGAGGAGGAAGTTTATGAAAAAATCCCGAAAGACCTAAACATCCCTGTCGGCAAGGCTAAAGGAGTCGTGCACGAGCTCGCTCGGACCAGATTGACAAACTCCCTCATTCAGGCAGTTGCGCTGCTCCGGCAGAGAAACAATCAAGGAGTGGTAAGTGCTGCTGTGTTTTTCGATTGCATTTCTGCTGCTACTAATGATTCACGACTGAATTTGATGACGACGATGATGTGTAGGTCAATTCTCTGAACGACTTATTAGCTTGCGACAAGGCTGTGGCCTCCGAGCCGTTGTCGTGGGAGGTGCCGGAGGAGCTTGCGGATCTTTTTCTTGTGTACGTGAAGAGTGACGGGGCGACGGATGAAAAAGTGAAGAGATTGCAGTATCTGCTGAACATTGGCGACGCGATGGCGGAAGCTTTGCGAGGGGGGCCGATAGATGTCGGAGGAGTGTCGAGGGGATCATCGGAATCGTCGACGGAGGAGTTCGTGTTCTGATCAAGTCGCTGCATTAGAGAATAATGAATAATGGTTGAAGGTACCAATTTTGTGTTCTAAGAACAAGAGAGAAGGATTAAAGGGATATGTAGGATTGGCTTGATTAGATTAGATTGAGTTTGTGTTCTGAAACAGAAACAGCACAACTTAAAGAAAGTGTTTTTAGTTTGTTTTTCTGTTCCAGCTCCAATTCTGTTAATTGAGTCTTGTAATTTGGTTTGTTTAGTCAAAATATGCATTCATTCCACATGTAATTAGGCTATTTGCAACCCATATCTCCATTTATTTTTGTCATTCATCTCTCTTTACCACACCATTAAATATTCTTTCTAATTTTATTCTCACAACAAACAAAGTTATCTCGAACCAGTTTTATTTGATTTTTTTCCACATCATTACATATGTATATTTTTTGCTAAAAAATATTTTTTATTAATTAATAATTCATTAATATTTAATTTATCATTAATTTCTTAAATAATAATGAAAATTTAAATTAATAAAAATATATTATATTATTTTATAACATACAAAATTTTATAAATTATAAAAATATTATGAAATTTAAATATAATAATATATTCAAAATAAATAGCGTAAAATAATTCATAAATACAAACATAACTTCTTCATAGATGCTGTGGAGATAACTCGTTTTTTTTAAGTACTATTTTTTATTTTTCCCAAATAATAATATAATAATAATGAAAATATAAAAATATTTTATGCAAAATTTAAAAAAAAAAAATTTATCGGTTATTGTGGCCGTTCAAGGTCTAATCCAATGAGTCTTTTCATAATTGATAGTTGACTCACTCTTTAGCTCGACTTTTTAGATATAGGATAAGAGAGGTTTGTGTGGAAGTTAATTTTTACTGGTGAAAAACCGTGAGGGGAGGGAGACGAAGAAGGGAGTTCCCGTGATTTTTCGGTCAGTGTAGAAACTTTTTTTTATGGCCGATTTTCGGTGAGTATCGAGGTTTAGAGTGAAATGTCGACCTCCACCTTAAGGCGTAGTTACTTCAGGCCATTCGCTCCATGGGCTGAGCCGAACAACTTCATCCCAATCGTTGGCGTCGAGAAAGAAAGAAGATCGGAGTAAATCGGTGTGAATCGGTGTTCAACGATCGAGTTGATCGGAACCAGAATGGAATTGTTCTAAATCGCAGCTGTCCATTGCCGGAGCAGACGGCTGTTCAGTGATTGGAGATCAAAGCCGTCGACCGCCTTGCCACTAGTTCGCTGGAGAAGAGAGCCATCACCAATCGGAGCTGAAGGAGTTGCCGATTGCTGCCCGGAGAAGACGACCGGGGCTGTTATCCACCGATTGATCTGTTCTTCGTCAATCGGTACTAAGCCAAGCTTAATCGTCGGAGCCGTTGGTCCGCCGTGAGTAGACATCGTCAATCCAAAAGTCGGTGGCTGAAATGGGTTTGTTCTTCAAGAAATGGACATGATTCTCAATATATATAATATACTATATTTTATCATCTAAAAAAATCAATAGTATGTATAAAATATTATTTTTTATATTATCTATATAATTCTTTATTCTTCTCTTTTGTACCTCACATAAAAATATATATATATATATATAATTCAAATTAACTTAATTGGGCTAATACCAAAAAAGTAACATAATTATGTGGGTCATTACCCAAAATTTGTGGAATCAATTCTTCCCCACACACCGGCTTCTTCCCCCAACCCTCATTCACCGACAAGCATGATCTTATTCCCCAACCCTCCTTATCCACACGTAGATGCACATTTCACTATTTCTTTTTGAACACTATCCGCTCTAAATTTGCACTTTTTTTTTTTTTTTTTAATTCTCAAGTTCAAAATTTTTAGATATGACAATTGAAGGAGAAAGAGTGACAAACACATATAGAACAGTAAGAATGAAAAATTGAGCATTTCCGGTGAACCATGACTGAGAGCACTAACCACATATTTAAGACTCAACCTCATTGATAGATTGATTAAACAACACTAATATACCAAATATCCCAATTTCACGACCTTATATATCTTTCAAAAATAAGAAGTGTTATCATTTTCTTCATCTTCGGCATCCCTTCAATTCTTAATCTCAATTAACAAAACACATAACTGAAGCAAGAAGCAAAGCTGATCAAAACAAGATTATGTCACAAAAATAGCATAGTATAGTATTCTCTCAATTTACTCTACCACCATAGCGTTGGTCATCTTCCCACAACACAGAGAAAGGAGGTTAAGAAAAATAAGGATATCATAAAAGTTAAGCACTTGTTTTTGATATCCACAATTCTGTCATGGAAACCCCTTCAATTTCACAAGTACAAAAATACTAAAAAGCAACTTGAGCTACTCCGAGGGCAATTCTCATAGACATTCTTCACTCCTAAATATTTAAAATTACTAAAGAAAATGGCGTAGATGTTAAGTACTACTATCGTTGAAATTCGTCGATGACTACCCACTAGATTTAGGTCTATCAAAATTGATGTAAATTGAGTTTCTCGGCCTCCTCAAAAAAGTATCTGAGCTTAGTCTCACGATTGATGATTAAAATGTAATAAATTTGGGATTGAAAAGCGATTGGTGAACTTAGAATTGAAATAAATATGATAAAATCTGTCACGGACCGAAACATTGTCCGAGGAATGCCGAGGAGAATAAGAATGTTGAGGAGCGCCGCGGAGAGGCCCGCGGTGCACAAACACAAAGAGGATAGCGGAGACCCTTTGAGACTTTCAAAAATCTTTCGGAATGTTCTGGAATCTCCTGAAATATTCCGCAACATTTTAGAAGTACTAAGATCGCCTCTTTGGCCGAGTTAATGTCTATCCATTTGACATATTTTATCCGTATTTCTTTATTTAACTTATCTTATCTGTGTCTTGTATAGATAGAGTCAATCCGAGTGTGAAGATGCTTTAATCTGTGTTAGGTCCAGTCTGTTAGAGTGTCTATATATAGGGGAGGACCCTAAGTTGGACTTCACTTCACTTTTCATAGAGCTAATATACACTTTACTTTGCCGGGTTCATCTTGTGGTATTTTTTCTTTCTAGCTTAGAGTGGAGTCGTGTGCGAGATTGTACTAGCGAGTTTCTCATGAGTGTCGAAGAATTGCTAGGCCTGATGCTGAGTTCGAGGTTGAGAACCAGGTCCCAAGGTGGAACCGGAGCAATGCGACGGACAAGTCTGCAGATATCATGGCATAATTCCAAAATAGGTTGGCTAGGGTGGAGCTTACCGTCGGAGATCATCATGGCAAGTTCTAAGAGGTGGAGCAACGTATCTACGAACTCAAGGGCAGTGAGTTGTTTGATGGGATACTGACCTCGATCGATGCCAAAAGAGAGAAGTCTCGGAAATAGGATTGGCGATGATGGAGATTACCGAGACGCTGAAGGCCGAGATGGTCACTCTGAAAGAGACCGTGGCGGAGTGCAAGATCTAGCCCGTGAGGCTGAAGAAAGATAAGGTTACGGTACCTTCGAGTGTTTAAGAGGAGTTGGCAATATTGAGGATAGAGCTAGCCGAACTCTAGGCGAGGAGACCGATCGGAGTTGCCTCGGAAGCCCCAAAAGGGAATATACCGTGCCCGGAGAGTTATTCCGGGGAGCAGAAGGCTTGAGCTGTGGATAGTTTTCTCTATGATATGGAGAAATACCTCGAGGATTCTGACATCGCGGGAGATAAAGCCAAAATCCGAACGGCATCTCAGTTCTTAAAGGGCTTGGCCTGTACTTGGTGGAGGCGGAACGAGGGGATGCATGGCAATGAGGGAGGCAACACGACTTGAAGAATATTCAAGTGTGAACTTAAGGCAGAATTTGCACCGGACGATGCAGAGGATGAAGCATGGTGTACAATTTGTCGGTTAGAGCATCTAGAGGGTCATTTGAAGGAGTACATTGAGAAGTTCTCCGATCTATTGTTGGAAGTACCCAAATATGTCCCCTAAAAAGGCTTTTTTGACGTTGTTGGAGGGCCTGAGGCTGTAGGCTAAGTTGAGGATTAAGGAGAAGCTCCTTTCAACTATCACTGAGGCAATCAGGTAGGGTCAACGGTTGCTTGAGGTTGAGCAGAAAGAGCCAAGTAAGGACGATCAGTAAAGGAGGATTAACCAAAGCATAAGTGGGGGAGACCAAACCTGGCAGACTGCATGGGTTAGTGATACCGGAGAGACTTGGCAGCAACCCCCAGCTAGAGTCAGAAATGCGATGAGGCCAGGGCTGACATATGACAAGTGCTTTGTCTGTAGTAGTAAGGATCACTATGGGAGGGATTGTCCAAGTCAGGGAGACATTGTGGTGGTGGACGTGCAACCGGAGGCGACAGAAGGCCGGGTGGCCTGTACAAAGTCGGCCCCTGCCAATACCTTAGAGGAAGGATGCTCGTTAAAGCATGGATAGGTGGAGTGTTGGTGACGTGCTTACTCGACCTGGGCTGACGACAACTACTTGAGCTAGCAACTGGCCCGTAGGATTGGCCTACAGTGGGTACCTTCTGGAGGGCGATTCAAGGGAGTTAATGGTGGGTGGACTCCCATATCTGGTGTGGCTATAGACGTGCCCATGCAACTCGGCAATTTGGAAAGGTACAAAACTAGTTAATATAGCTCATATGGATTATTATGCGGTATTTCTAAGGATGAGGTTCATGGACCATGTCAAGCCCATAATGGTGCCGCACTAGAAAAGGTTCACAATCACAGAAGGTGGGACACTGTGTAACGTGGCGGTTTACATGGAGAGGGACCTCAACCCGAAACAAATCAAGAGGGGTCAGATAGAAAGGAAGTCATCTGTAGTGGCTATTCGGAGTGACGAGAGCATCCCTAGTGATGGCGAGCAAGACGCCGGAGGCCTACCTAAGGACCTAAGGCAAGCTTTCAAGGGAGTCGAGGAAACCACACAGGATGATCTGCCTAAGTGGCTACCCCCTAGAAGGACTATCAATCGCAGTATCGACTTGGTGAGTGGAGCAAGATTAGCCCCTCGGTCCACTTACGAGACGTCCCCTAATGGGTTAGTGGACGTTAAGGAGGAGTGGTGTACCTTTCTTGTGGAGTCCAAGTTCGAGAGCGAGCGTCGACCTGGAAGGGTGAATGGTGTGACAATCACTTTGAGTTACAAGAGAGTGTTTGAGTTCCAGTCTGTAATACTAAAGAAGCTAGT